TAAAGAAATGTATACTTTTATTCAGCAAGGATGCATGAAATTGATCAAAAGTGATAGTAAAGACATTTATATGGTTACAAAAGATTCCCATTTCAAATAAACGCTGCTATTTTGAACTTTGTATTCATCAAGAAAGTATCGCAGTTTCAACAAAAATTAATTAAGCAGCACAACTGCTTTCAAAATTGATAGAAATAATGGAAATGAGCAGCAAATTCGCATATGTGACCCTGGACCACAAAACCAGTCATAAGGGTCAATTTTTCGAAATTGAGATTTATACATCATCTGAAAGCTGAATAAATAAGCTATTGGTGTATAGTTTGTTAGGATAGGACAATATTTGAAAATCTGGAATCTGAGGGTGCATGTGATACTGAAGACTGCTCTGAATTCTGCTTTGCCATCACTGTTTGCAAAAATATTTTAAAATCTTCCTGATCCCAATCTTTTAAACATTAGTGTACGTTGTACATTCTGTAATGTCCTTTACCAGGAAAGAGAACCACGGAGAGCTATTATATGAAACTAAAATAATGCTGAGAATTTTATTTTAAATGGTAACTAGTTATTCCAGTAGCAATTTTGGATGATTGCGTCCATGAAAATGATTTTAATGAAGAAAAATATTGCACTGAAAAATGCAATAAAATATTAAAGGCAGTGGTGACTGTGTGTTCTGCAGGAGTCTGTGTGTGGATGCCCTCATTGAGCTGTCTGATGAGAATGCCGACTGGAAACTGAGCTTTGATGAGTTCTTAAACTGCCTCAGGCCTGGATTCAATCCTCCAGAGAGGAGTAAGATCTACAACCACTCGTTCCACTTTCTAGTATAATACATCTATAGACCTGTGTATGAACATATAGCCTGCATAATATGTAGTGAGTGCTGTTACATGCTTTTAGAGTGTGCCTTAGAGGACGAGACGTACGAGGATGGTGCTGAGACTCAGATGGAATGTAACCGCTGCATTTGTGCCTGCGGGAACTGGGTCTGCACTGCTGTTATTTGTGATGGTGAGCTAAAACCTGGGATATTGCTGCTGTTTTTTCTGCAGCTGGGGTTGAGGCTGGGATTTGGAGAGCAAAGCTGGATGAAATGAGATTTTTTTCTCTCTTTACAGGTTCAAATAAGTTACCTGCGCTTGAGGAAATGGAGGGAAATGATCAGGAGATGACGGAGGAGGAGTGGACTCGGCGAGTGGCCGAACTGAATAAACATCAGGTTGGGACTGAGTGTAATGTTCGAAACCATCATGTACTGCGTAAAGGGCACTACTTTGGATGTGATGGGATGTGCATTTTCCCTAACATACCATGCTGAAACTTTCCTTCCTGACGTCTGTTTTGTTTGGCTGGGTCTTCATGGACCTAAAAGCAAATAAAATGTGTGACTTTTGAACTGTTTTCCCCCCATAGGAAACCACTAAAGAGGTTTGAGGAGTAATTCAGGAGGTGGGATGAACTTTTGCCCAGATTTCGGCTTCAATCAACCTGTGTTTGAATGGAAAGAGAGAGAAAGTTTCATTTGTTTAGTTTATTATATTAATTATTGATGTATTCAAAGGTGTGTTCTCTTCTGGTATTTGATATAGTCTTTCTTTTTTTTATTTGTATGGGACTATAAAAGAGTCTGTATGATTTGTACCTGTTGTGTAAATTACTGCAAACCTTTTTGTAATAGTATTTTTATACATTCAGTGTCATTTTAATGCTTCTATAAGGCAGTGTATTCATTTTTACCGTAAAGTTAACAGAAAATATGAAAATATGTTTTGTATAAAGACCATTAACATCAACAAGATTTTTGCATAGTGAAATAATTATAAATTGTATCACAATTTTGATGATTGTAATATGACATACAGTATTTTATGTACAGTGTACAATTTACTTCACCTTTCAAAAAGGGGGGGTTGGATAATGTCAACAGGAATCCCTCATTATTTTGTGATGACTTTGCATTAATAAAATCAGAATTAATTCAGAACATAAAACTGGTCAGGTTGATCTGTTTGTTAATTTTGGCCATTTTTTTCAGCTGGTTGGGCTTGAGGATATTTTAAACCGGCTAAGACCAGCTTAAACCAGCAAACCAGCTTAGGTTGGTTTAAACAGGGTTTTTGTTTTCAGCAGGGAAATACTACAGCTATTTATAAATCATCTATGTGGTGTATTAATCTTAATTGGCAATCAATCAATAAAACTATAAAGCAATAATCTTAAAATAAAGGGCCAAGTTTAATCGAGTAATGGGCATGTCTGATAGTTCTGTGTACAGTATATATTGCCATTATTGTGCAATCAAAATTATTATTACTTAGACTTAGATAATTTCTACTTTAATTTACTGTAACATTTTCTTTTTTTCTTGTAGTATAAAATATGACTAGGCTACATGTTTTATAACTAAACAAACTGTTATGACTTAAGTATAATCCCTGGCTCATGCCGATAAAAAGAGTAAGCCTGTTGAATGTCAACAGGTTTTCATGTAAAAGGCACTAACTACACGTGCGACAGTGTTGCCAGATTGGAAATGTCCAAATACTGTACCAGAAGCTCACAATTTATCGTATTTGGAAGTAGGGCCGTGCGATATATATCGTCTGCGATAATATCGTAATTGTTGTTTTAACAATGTGCGATTTGACATTACAGAGTGCACGCATAGGCCTACATTACGTGAAGTCTAGATTAGTGCTCGTACACATTTAGAGTGCGTACTTCACTGCATGATTCAGTCTATTAAAATGCATTTAGAATGATCACAAATTCAAGACATGGGGGCAGAAAATGTATACATTTACAACTTCATATAGTTAATCAATAGAGTGCCGTTTTACTCCAAATATTACCATGATTACAAATATGATATTTATTTTTTTACAACAGTTCAATAAACAAGAAGTTAATTAAGAGACTTACGTTTTAAACACCATATTGCCTGTTTTTGTGCTATTTCGCCAACAAAAATAATTCCAAACACAGCCACAGCACTCTTTTGCGTCTCTGAGGCTGCGTTCCAGTTCACTTTTAGACACGCACTGGCGAACTTCCCTAAGCATTTTGAAGTGCTTTCCACTTCGTCAAGTGGATAAGGGAAGTTTACATGGACATACCCTCGACCCCTCGATTTTGACCGAGGGAGCGAGTCTGCTTCATATGCACACTTCAGGCCGCTCCATAGACCACAATGCAACACGATTGCGACGTCATCACAGATCGCGTTTAATTTATCCCCACCCCAAACAACTCTATAATATGTAAATGATTTTTTAAAAACATTTATAACAGCCCAAACATACCTATATACATATAGAATGCTGCAACAAACAAATTCATAAGGGAAAAAATTTAAACAATAAACCAACCCCATAGCTGATTCTAAGTGATCAAGGGCTTAGGACGTTCCAGTTCAGCCCATTCCAAGGGTTCTGCCAGAAGCCGGCACTCATGCAACGTAATCAATGACGTACATCCGAGTAAACGAGACGGAGGGAAGTTTGCGAGTGAAGGGCATAAAAAAATGGACTGGAAGGCAGCCTGAGCAACATGACGGTGATTCGTTCCTGAATGAATCAACCGTTTAAAGATTCGGTTCAGTCGCAATGACTCATTAACAGTCACTTGCTGCCACCTATTGGAGGTTTGAATTTCACATTCAAAGTATCTTTTATTATTTAAATGATTTCAAATATCAGTATTCAACGTTTTACGTTTAATATATCAAAACATTATTGATGCATTTGTAATTGCAGGTTAATTGCAGGCATGTCCTGCATTAAACAGTGAGTAAATACATATAAATGCCACTTCAGATGCAGCTTCTGTGTTGATTTCATCTGCTTGGTAACAGCCCAAATGTCTTATTATTCTAATTCACTGTTTAAATGTAAGACTTTAAAAAAAATGGCTTTATAAAGGTAAAAATGCTCATAATATGTAAAAATCAGTTTAAACTTATTGGAAAACACACAGAATATGAAGAATATCAAAAACCTTAGGAGTCAGCTTAATGACCTTAAGGTACCTGCACCATAACAAACTCAGCAAAATATAGTCGTCGTTATTGATAAAATCCCAGAAAATATCGAGATATTTTTTGTCAATATCGCACACCCCTATTTGGAAGAAAATTATCTTACACAAGACTAACTTTATCTAGACTAACAACTTTTTGACACGACCTGCAAATTACCACAATAGATAAATAACTAGGCATACCTTACACCGTATCTAGGACTCTAGGAAGCGAGCAGGGCGGTGCCGCGCAACAAATATTGATATTGATATGATATTTTTCTTACAAAAACGCATCGATTCACTACAAAAGGCCTTTATTCACCTCCCGGGGCCATGTGAGGCACGTTTTAATATGGATGGATGCACTTTATTTGACTACTTTTGGATTGTTGAACAAAAACACCCGCCCTGCAGCTTGGAAGAGCAAGGAACATTTTTTAATATAACTCCGACTGGATTCGTTTAAAAGAAGAAAGTCATATACACCTACGATGCTTAGAGGGTGAGTAAAACATGGACTCATTTTCATTTTTGGGTGAACTAACCCTTTAAATGATGTGCGATCTACCAGCATTGCCTTTTGCGATCGACCTATTGGACACCCCAGATGTGCACAAGCCCATTTAAAGTGTCTGTAATGAGACTATTTGTGTACGAGTATAGAAGCCCTATGATTAGCTACAACTGCCATCATTTGAAGTGTCACAAAATTCTGAAATTATCGTACATTATGGGATTATAATTTTTTTCATTATTGATCGTACATCGTACAGAGGTCAAAGTTATCGAACAAATACGATAATTATCGTACGTCTGGCAACACCGACGTGCAGGGTCGCATAAGAGCCTTATAGTCATGTTTGGCCCCTGGATGACCAATCACTGACTGCAGGAGGCGTTCCGCGTGACACATGCTCACGCTCCAGTACAGATAAAACCAAAGTCTTCGGTCAGGACTCAGGAGCGCCCTTCGCACAGCTGCAGTTTAGTCACTTTAGTCAAAGGGGATCATCTATATAATATGTGTATGGATTATAACTCAAGACAAGAATTCCGAGGCGATAACTTTTTAGATTGTTGCACCATTAAAAAGTGTGATCCTTTGCTTTATTGTATTCCTATTTTATTATTTTGCTGTACTAATTAGTCCATATGGCTCGTTTCCCAAGCATGGACGACAAGTGTTCTGTTTTATATTTATCGCGTCTGCATCTGGACGACTTGAGCTTGGATCATCTCACGGACAGTAAAAGACAACAAATCCAGCAGCTACATCTCACTTACAATCGTTTATCGTTTCTTCCAAATGCCGTTTGTTTTTTGTCCAACCTGGAATACCTGGATATCAGCAATAATGCGCTCACAGTCATACCAGATGACATTATGCGCCTAACAAACCTAAAGACGTTTGTAGCAAAGAACAATCTTCTGGATGAGTCCTCGTTCCCTAAGGAGTTCGAACGCATGCAGGTAGAGACTCTGAATCTGAGTGGGAACAGGTTTGAGGACATTCCCATGCAGTTTCTCAAAATGACCACACTACAATCCCTGTCACTTGGAGGAAACAGATTGAAGAATATCCCTGCAGAAATAGAGAACCTGACCAGGTATGAGTTTGTTTCTTTGTCCAGATATGAACCATCTCTTAATACAAAGACCCAAATTACAAAATAATAAATCAATAAATAAAATAAAAAACCCTGATTATTCTGATCAATTATTATAAATACATGTATATTAATAACAATAAATGCACAAAAAATAATGGAGGCATTTTCTATGATATATCTATTTCATAATACCATGGTAATACCACTGTGCGAGTGCGAGCCATTACTGTAAGATCAAGAAGATGAAAAGAAGAAACTGCTCTGACTTTTCAACCAGGTTTCAAACTCTGGAAAAAAAAATCGAATTAGTCTTTATTTTTGTATTTGTTCTTTTAATTTTAGTTCAAGTTTTAGTATTTTTATTGTGTGTTTTTGCTATTTTAATTAATGTTTTTTAAATATATGATTTTTATGATTTTTTCAGTTTTACTTATTTTACTACATCACACTAAATGAAAATGACAAATGTTGCTTTGGCAACAATAAAAATAAAAATATTAAAAAATATAAAAATGTAATATTTAGTTAAAATGGATTGTTTTTATTTATTTATTTATTTAATTTCAGCTAAGATTTATTTTATTTTAAGTTAATTATTGTATTGTAGTTATAGTTAACTGTAATAACCCTAACATAGATACGCTGCTTTAGACCATATACTGTATCTCTTGAAGGCTGTTGAGATCCTTGTACAGATTTGCATCTGGCCTGGATCAGTGTTACAAAACTAGACAGTAGTTGAATGCATTCCATGGCCTGGGGTTGGTTGGTGGGGCTTATGGGTAAAAGACTAACCAACAGAATGGGAGAACTGCTTAAGTACTCTATGGCAAATAATTAAACATGACATAACAGTCTGTTTACTCTTAAGTTAATGATCTCTCGTTTCATTCAAACCTAGAAAGTTAAAATGAGGATCTTCCTGTTTCATCATTGCATTGCTAAATTCTGTATTTACAGTAGATGAACTCTGAACTTCCCACTGTTGGTGTGTTTTTATCCTTATTGTATGATTGCTCACCTCTACATTACAGTAATTCCGCTTTAGCTTTTCCCATATTAATATTCACATTTAAAAACAGGCACATTCTCATTCAGGCTTTTTTTAAAAGATTTAAACACACCCCCTTTGGCAAGATGAGAAATTAGTATTTGGTGCAATTTTCCAGGTAGTAAATCTGCTCAAATTTGTTTGGTCAATTTGTAGGAGTATGTTAGCATACTGTATAGCTAGCCTTAAAGCTAACACAAACTAAAAGATACAAAACTTTGATTTTAATGTCATGGGTCTTCAACTTCTGACCTCTGTTATGTGATGCTACAGTCTAGAGATGCTGTATTTGGGAGGAAACCTCATCTCCTCCATCCCACCTGAGGTGGCTAACCTCACCAGTCTGAGATACCTGGTTCTATGTGACAATCGCATCCAAAGCATACCGGCCCAGCTCAACAAGTGAGATCTTTTGTTACTTACTGTATGTTGTAAAGTCAGAGAAGTTATGTGATTTTTTTAATGGTATCATCTGATTTCTGTCCTTGCAGACTACACTCCCTGCTCTCTCTCAGTCTCCACAACAACCTGCTGACCTTCCTCCCTCGTGAGATCCTCAGCCTCGTCCATTTGCAGGAGCTCAGTCTGCGTGGAAACCCTCTTGTTGTGCGCTTCATCAAGGATATGACCTACGACCCTCCATCCCTGATGGAGCTGGCAGGACGCACCATCAAGTCCCAGAACCTCCCGTTCAGCTCATGTGACCTACCGTCCAATCTGATCCATTATTTAAACCTGGCTAGCGAATGTCCCAACCCAAAGTGTGCAGGTAGGGGAGGACAATAAGGCTGTATAATCTGTGAAAAAGAGACATATTTAGGATAACAGTAAAAAATAATCTATATCCTGTGAGGACAACCTTGCTTTAGACAGCATCATGCATTAATTAAAGGAATATTCTGGGTTCAGTACCAGTTACCTCAACTAATGGGATTTGTGGTATAATGTTGATTACTTCATCTTGTCCCTCATTCATCAAAAAAGGGCAACAATTGGTGTTACACTGTTACAGCTTGAGGCTGTCTACACTGGACGCTTAAAAGCAGACGTTCCAAATCCATTAGTCCTGTTGTCGGAAGTAGCGCAAGTGCTTGGAAGTGCATGTGAAACAAAGCTGTGAAAATTGATATAACTTTACACAGAAAAGATTAGTATACTATGACACCAAAAGAGAACTTTCAAAAAAAAGAAAGAAATCAGACTATTGCACACAAATAAGAAAAAGTTTGCACGAGCATGTGAAGCCTCTGCATACTTATGTGAAACATTCGCATGCTTATGTGAAATTTTCGTGTTTGCACAATGAATTTTCCATGCTAGTAATTTTTTCTTTTCTTGTTCGCATGCAAAAGTCAATGGATATTTTATTTTTGCAAAGGTTCCTTTAGGGGCTCTGTAAAGTTTTTTTTGTCATGCTAAAATCGTGTTAACGTGCACAAGTTTGCGACTAAATTGCTGAAAGTAAGAATTTTAATATTTACAGATTGAACCCATTCACTCCAAAATGTGTGCTTTTTTTTTTACAAAAAGGAGGGAATTTTTGTGGTAATCAACACAATTGACCCTTCACAAAGACCCGCCCCCTTTAGTTACTGTTGCTATGTCCGACAAGCCATGGCGCTCTCACGCAACACATCATGTTCTCACGCAGTGAAATATATTTTGCGGAGCAAATAGAAAACTGACAACACGTCAACAGACAAGACAGAGCAGGCTACTTTAGGTATGTAACAAAGTCTCAGCTTTCAAATTTTGTCATTTCCTAAGAAATTCTCACAATAAATAAAGTTTTGTGGCTCTTTAACGTGTCGTGACAGATCACTGTAGCGCCTCAGTTCAAGCAGCATGTGAACTGATCATCTCTTCCTCTTTACTAGTTATTTTATGAAATAAACATGAATGAACATCAGAAGGCATCTTGTTTCAACCGTGGAAATACGTCTATATGCACAATTTTTCAAGTTCAAGTCCACCAACGTTAATATACTCCCGTCTGGTTTGTTTGTTGGAAAAAAGGGCAGATTTGGCGTTATGATTGGTCAGATCACCTGTCAATCAAACTCCATGCGAAGGGTCAATTGCTGTTGACGGATTCTGTTGATGATTCTGAACTAAAAACTTGATAGGTTGACAAAGTTGCAGATTTTTATTGTTGTCTTTGACATGTTGAATATTTGTCCACCTCTTCACATTTCTCTATATCTCTCCCATCATGCCCTCTAGGTGTTTATTTTGACTCTTGTGTGAGGCACATCAAGTTTGTGGATTTCTGTGGGAAGTACCGCCTGCCGCTCATGCATTACCTCTGTTCGCCGCAGTGTTCCTCTCCCTGCAGCTCAAACCCACAGAGCGACGCGGAGTTTACTAGTTATTTTATGAAATAAATATGAATGAACATCAGAAGGCATCTTGTTTCAACCGTGGAAAGACGTCTATATGCACAATTTTTCAAGTTCAAGTCCACCAACGTTAATATACTCCCCTGTCTGGTTTGTTTGTTGGAAAAAAGGGCAGATTTGGCGTTATGATTGGTCAGATCACCTGTCAATCAAACTCCATGCGAAGGGTCAATTGCTGTTGACGGATTCTGTTGATGATTCTGAACTAAAAACTTGATAGGTTGACAAAGTTGCAGATTTTTATTGTTGTCTTTGACATGTTGAATATTTGTCCACCTCTTCACATTTCTCTATATCTCTCCCATCATGCCCTCTAGGTGTTTATTTTGACTCTTGTGTGAGGCACATCAAGTTTGTGGATTTCTGTGGGAAGTACCGCCTGCCGCTCATGCATTACCTCTGTTCGCCGCAGTGTTCCTCTCCCTGCAGCTCAAACCCACAGAGCGACGCGGAGTCAGAGGAGGAGAACAGCGTCCCTGCAGACAGGCTCCAGCGGGTACTGCTGGGATAGGACAAACCTCCAACAGAGACAGTTACCTGCCACAGGATTTCCATTTAATGCTTAATTTCATGTTTTCGTAGGCCTATAAAATGTTAAAAACACTTTGACTCAAAAGAGTTGGGTTTTAGAACTGTTTTAGTGACTCAACATAAAAGCAATGGCTATTTAGTTTAGTTCTTTTATGGTGTTTTTAACTGTTTTTTTGTAATTCGCCTTTTGTGTTCCATGGAGAACAAAAGCAAACTGGTTTGAAATTTCATGAGGGTGAGTAAATAACTGAACTATTCCTACTAATGTTGCTGATAAGGCATCTGAAAACTTTGGCATCTTGCCTAAAACAGTATGTCGAGTAGGCCAGCTTGACACAGACCAGTCCTACATGCAATCAGAGAACAAGCTGAATGCTTTGCACTTCTGGAAAATGTGATCAATACGTGAACAGTTACTCTTTGACCTCTTCTTTGTATTGACTGTTAATCTGCCCTAACTTTTCTGTTCAAAGGTCAGGTTATGGACTATGATGGCTACATCACACAATTCGAAAATGTATAGAAAGCTATCATCCATGACACAACCTTGAAAATAGTTTTTTTGGGTATTTTGTCTTATTTTCAGAAGTTTGGCTACAGCGATTGGGTTTCAGATCAGTATTAAATGGTTTACTGTCTCTAAAAGAGCTCATAGTGGCCTTATAGCTAATAAAACAGATATTATACTCCTCGATGATAACTTATCTCTTGTGTGTGTGTTTCTTCTGAGCACAGTTATTATTTGAGTCAGTCTGACTATTTGATCATACGGTGATGATTATTTTAATGGTATTGCATAATGTGTATGACTTTGAGAGTTTTGGGTCAGCGAGTTCATATCAATATCTGACCAGGGGCGTGTCCAGGATTTTATTCTTGGGGTGGCAAAGAGGGGGCAAGAGCAGAATGAGGGGTGGCAACTATAGATCAGTGTTTGTACTCCCCATATATTCTGTATATTCAACACCAGTGTTGGGGAGTAACTAATTACATGTAACGGAATTACGTAATTTAATTACAAAATAAATGTAAGTGCAATCTGTTACAGTTACTGAGAAAAAAAAGTGTAATTAAATTAGCTTAGTTAATGAATGTGTTATTTTCTTTCCTTTAAGTAAGTGTGCATTAAACGATTCAAAGGTTATCAGAATTAAAAGTTAAATCTGTCATTGCAGCTGTGTGAATTTTGTTTGGAAGGATGAAATGATAGTAGGCTACATTTTCGTCAGTTATTTGATCGGTTATTAAATCAGATACATAGAAGCACAGTAAAAATGCATTTGTGAGAGCGCGATTACGTGTAAATTAGTCCTGCCTGTTTTGTGGACACGCCACTATATCTGACAGCTGCATTTATGGCCAATTTATATGCACTCTTCTCCCATCAGATGCAGCTATCACTCTTATTGCAAATACCAGTCTTTTAGCACTGTTTACGATCTTACAGTGACCTGACACAGGTTGCGACACCTCTGCTGAGACGAGGAGGAAACTGTCCATCTCTCTCTCTGGAATAACGGGACAGTTTTTTTTTACAAAGGAATCTCAAAGGTAGGATGAGTCAGCACTTCTCTCAGCTTTGCAGGTCTGACTCAGCACATTTCAAAACACATAAACGGGTTTAGAGAATTGAAATAAGAAAAAGAGTTAGTTTCTAGAACCACCCTGCTGTAAAAAACAAAAAAGTCCCCCTGGTCTGATAGCTGGTTTTAAAGGGGGCTTGGGCACTGGCTTGGCCAGATTGGGGGACAGATAGCTTAAACCAGCAAGCTTGTCAGAAAGAAAGAGATCTCTAGCCCATATTTCAAGACTCTTGTGGATGGTAAACACTAAAAAGGAGAAACAATCTGAAAATGTAATCTTACTTCACAGTGTTTTAAAAGACCCAAGTGTAATGCTCTGTAAAGTATTCTTTTAAGGTTCTTCACTATAAGGCTGTTTGAGAACATCAAAGTTATTGATGAGGTTTTATTAGATCAAAAGGACAGGTAAGGCACCGTCATCCATCACTCCCTGGTGGTCTAGTGGTTAGGATTCGGCGCTCTCACCGCCGCGGCCCGGGTTCGATTCCCGGTCAGGGAATACAAGTTTTACCATAAGCTATTCACTCATCCTGGAAACGAGATCTAACCATACTTTGAAAACTCAGTGTAAACCGATGTTTTGTAAAAAATGCGTAATTCTAACCATTTGTGACTTCTTGTTATAAACTTTGGAGCTCTTCCGTCGAGAACATGTGCTTTCTCTAGATACATGGCACCATCGCCTGGTCACCCGTTTACTGTTTGCACATATGCGAGCCTATGATTTTTTTCTCCCCCACAATCCGTTTTCCAGATAATAACATTATTTGGTTAAAAACTTAAGTAAACAAACAAACAAACAAACAAATAAAAATAAACGTTTAACAAATAGTAACATATTTTACAGCTTTACTTTTTATTTTTTAATATATTGATGAACTTCTTTAAAATTAAAAACAAAGGCTTATTTCCCCTGTATTCACATTTATGTACACTAAATTTAGTTAACAGAAGTAGCAATAGTTACTGCTTGGTCACCTTCCTTGAGCGTCCTGTCACGTATCCTCCTAATTAATATTCATGAGCTTAGCGTAGCTCTTTCGTATATGCGCAGTGAGTCAACTGCGCAGAGAGCGGAAAAACACAAACATGACTCCTTGCGTTCATCAGGCTCCAGCATTATTTATTTCCTGCTGCTGCGTCATTTAGTAAAACAAGTTAAGTTTAATCAAGATCACTCCAGAAGCGCTGAGATTTGCTGTGTTTATGCTTCTCTTAGTTTTCGGTGCTTAACTTTGTAGTGTCACAGTGAGGTCCGATGGCAGTGAATCCCGGAGATGCTGATGCTGATGAGCTGCCGTCTATGCTGTGGGGTCTGGACCCCGTCTTCTCCGCATACTCGAGACTCTACATCACTGACATCCTACTGATGAAAGAGTCCAGACAAGTACCTGGTAACGTAAAATCAAGCAGTTAACCCCTGGCCCCTTTGATTTTGTTTACTGGATTTGTCTTTAACTACACGGGAATAAAAATACTACAGCACTTTTCTAAACTCTCTTCTAAACACCTGTAGTCCCGCAACCTGTTGTTTTGCATAAGCGGGAAAGTGTTCCAATTATTTTTCAGCTACTTGTTTGTTTGTTAGGTGCTGTTTTTAAATAATAATGTATAGATAAGAATCTGTTCTTATACTGTTGCCAGAAAGCTCCCATATTTGACATGTGCATGTGATGTTTTGTAGGTGCTTATTTCTACAAGACTCACCCAATCTTCAAGGTGGATGTACTGGGGACGGTTGTTTACAAGCGGGAGAGAGAAGATTTCTACTGCTATGGGGGTCTGGAAAAATGTGTTTTTTATTTATTTATTTTAATATTTCAACATTAAAGTGTAAACATTTTAGTGTTGCCTTATTAGGTCTATATTTTGTTTAAAAAATAAATAAAACAATAAATATAAATATAGTAGTAAAATATAGTTACAGTAATTAAACATAATAAAATGTAAAATAAATTATAGTTAAAAATATAGTTAAAAATAATAATAAAAAAATCTGTTATCAAATAGATCACAACAAAAATGAGTGGTTGTCAGTGTCAAGTTGGAAATTTTATTTGTTCCTCCATAAACTTTAGCACTTGACTAGTAATTTTGCTTTTGGTTGTGTGTTATCTTGCCCTGGGAACCAAAAAATGGGCACTTGTTGCACCTGGACTTACCTTTCTTGTCTGTTCTCCTTCAACACACAGTGGATGATAGTACTGGTGTCATAAACTGTCTTTGTTGGAAAGATGAGAAATGTAGTGATCAAGGAGGATCAACTAAATGTAAGTTATGAAAACTCTGACACAACATTAGTACCATTAAGTAAATATTTAATCACCAAAAAAAAAAACTATAGAAAATATATGTAATGGACATTAATCCATTATAAGTACTAATCCAGTGCTAATGTTAATATAGCTAGAGATCCTAGCGGATCCTCCAGAGGATTTAACATTGAAGATGAACTCAAACGGCTGACGGAGGCTGAACAGAAGAGCACTGTGCTGGAGATCGGAGACCTGCTGAGGGTACGAGGAACCGTCAAAACCTCCAGGGATGCGAGGGAGATCAGCGCCACCTCCTTCTGTGAGTCAAATGTTCAGGGATTCAGATTCTATTCTGACACATAATTAGTTTGTTTAATTAGTTAGATTGAGCCTGTTTGTAAAACAGATGGACTCAGTTATAATTATTTTTCTGTAATCATCACTCTGTGTGTAGATAAAGTAAATGACCCTGTGATGGCGGTGCATATATCGCGTATGCTGGAAATGCCTCAGCTGTACAGAAAGTGCTATGATCAGCCGTTCCAGAAGACAGGAGATGACCTGGGCGGCACAGAGTGAGTCAGACAGAAAGATTGTGATATCTTAGATCTTGCACTGCAGTGACTTTAACCTAATTCTGTTACAGGGAAAAATGTATGCATATATTGAATATGCATGATAAAAATATGCATGATAAAAAAAAAAAATATATATATATATATATATATTATGAACCTTTTTGCACAGACGGTAAGGAAGTTATTGAAATCATAACTTCGAATATGTGAATATGGATGCTGATGAGCCGCAGTCTATGCTGTGGGGTCTGGACCCCGTCTTCTCCGCATACTCGAGACTCTACATCACTGACATCCTACTGATGAAAGAGTCCAGACAAGTACCTGGTAACGTAAAATCAAGCAGTTAACCCCTGGCCCCTTTGATTTTGTTTACTGGATTTGTCTTTAACTACACGGGAATAAAAATACTACAGCACTTTTCTAAACTCTCTTCTAAACACCTGTAGTCCCGCAACCTGTTGTTTTGCATAAGCGGGAAAGTGTTCCAATTATTTTTCAGCTACTTGTTTGTTTGTTAGGTGCTGTTTTTAAATAATAATGTATAGATAAGAATCTGTTCTTATACTGTTGCCAGAAAGCTCCCATATTTGACATGTGCATGTGATGTTTTGTAGGTGCTTATTTCTACAAGACTCACCCAATCTTCAAGGTGGATGTACTGGGGACGGTTGTTTACAAGCGGGAGAGAGAAGATTTCTACTGCTATGGGGGTCTGGAAAAATGTGTTTTTTATTTATTTATTTTAATATTTCAACATTAAAGTGTAAACATTTTAGTGTTGCCTTATTAGGTCTATATTTTGTTTAAAAAATAAATAAAACAATAAATATAAATATAGTAGTAAAATATAGTTACAGTAATTAAACATAATAAAATGTAAAATAAATTATAGTTAAAAATATAGTTAAAAATAATAATAAAAAAATCTGTTATCAAATAGATCACAACAAAAATGAGTGGTTGTCAGTGTCAAGTTGGAAATTTTATTTGTTCCTCCATAAACTTTAGCACTTGACTAGTAATTTTGCTTTTGGTTGTGTGTTATCTTGCCCTGGGAACCAAAAAATGGGCACTTGTTGCACCTGGACTTACCTTTCTTGTCTGTTCTCCTTCAACACACAGTGGATGATAGTACTGGTGTCATAAACTGTCTTTGTTGGAAAGATGAGAAATGTAGTGATCAAGGAGGATCAACTAAATGTAAGTTATGAAAACTCTGACACAACATTAGTACCATTAAGTAAATATTTAATCACCAAAAAAAAAAACTATAGAAAATATATGTAATGGACATTAATCCATTATAAGTACTAATCCAGTGCTAATGTTAATATAGCTAGAGATCCTAGCGGATCCTCCAGAGGATTTAACATTGAAGATGAACTCAAACGGCTGACGGAGGCTGAACAGAAGAGCACTGTGCTGGAGATCGGAGACCTGCTGAGGGTACGAGGAACCGTCAAAACCTCCAGGGATGCGAGGGAGATCAGCGCCACCTCCTTCTGTGAGTCAAATGTTCAGGGATTCAGATTCTATTCTGACACATAATTAGTTTGTTTAATTAGTTAGATTGAGCCTGTTTGTAAAACAGATGGACTCAGTTATAATTATTTTTCTGTAATCATCACTCTGTGTGTAGATAAAGTAAATGACCCTGTGATGGCGGTGCATATATCGCGTATGCTGGAAATGCCTCAGCTGTACAGAAAGTGCTATGATCAGCCGTTCCAGAAGACAGGAGATGACCTGGGCGGCACAGAGTGAGTCAGACAGAAAGATTGTGATATCTTAGATCTTGCACTGCAGTGACTTTAACCTAATTCTGTTACAGGGAAAAATGTATGCATATATTGAATATGCATGATAAAAATATGCATGATAAAAAAAAAAAATATATATATATATATATATATTAACACTGGTAAATAAAGCGAAATATTATCATGTACAAACAATAAACACAATACCTAGCCTATAGGCTATTTTGAACGGTTTCAGAAGAAAACAAGAATGAAAAATATAAGTTGCTAAACAAGCCAAAATGAATTAGGCTAATTCAATGCGAAACTGAAAGCAAACGGCGTTCTCGCGCAGCCTACCTCTCTCATTCGGCATTAATCCATTAAATGTGTCCATATTTGCGATGTATTTGAATGCTTTATGTAATCCAAGCTTACTTAACGCACTTAAAAAACATCCTCGTCACATGAGCAAATGTGTGTTTGGCCCGAGCTCAGGCTGATCGACACGGATTGTACTACGCAGTAGGCTACGCACTATTTAAATTAACCAGTGTATCTATGTTTGGTTGACTGTATTTTATTCTGATAATGAACAGGCTGCAACGTTTGCAATGCTGTATGTGTGTGCGTGAGGCGCCGGCGCGATCGAACAGCGGAAACAAACAACAAAAAAATACTCTGTTATTTTTGGTCATACAGATCATTTGAAACTGCAATGTGTTTACTTTATTTCTGTCATCTCGGTTTCCTTTCCCTGGACTTTCGTAGAGCGCCGCGCCACACAAATAGCATATGAACCAAACTCAGCAACATAGCCTATCTCTCAGTCTTTTCCTTTCGTTTTGTTAATCTGTTAATTAGGCTATTTAAGTCAAATATTTCGCATATTCATTCATTTTATATATACACTATGATTTAATAAAAACAGATTTTATTTTTAGTTAAACTTAATTTTTGTTGCTCGTCCGCCGTCTTTTTCTCTTCTCCGACCCCGCAGCTCTCTCTCCGATAGCTTAGTGTTAGTGGCACCAGTCTAGGTGTTTCCAGGTTTTACTCGTGCTATTTCTCCATGTTGAGAGTTTGGTGTTGCACATATTGCACCTGACTATGCATTCTTATCCTTTTCTCTGATGAACTGAAGATAACAGGAGTGTGTCCATCTCACAAATGTAGAATCCGTCTCTGCAGTCATCTCAACCATCTAATTCCAGCAACAGAAGATAGACAAACTATTTTACCCGCGGAATTTTTTCTCTGGTGCTGTTTTGCTGTGTTGGTAAATTCACCACTTAATTTTGAGTTAAAATATGTTGTTGTAACTTGCGTTACTGAGATTGTAACGAGTAATAATATTACCCAAATTTGATTAGTAATGCGTTATATTACTGCGTTACAGCAAAAAGTAATATACTACTGTAATATTATTACTTTTGTAATGCGTTACTCCCAACACTGGTTGCAGCCTTATGTTAAACTGCTTTAAATGACTTTTTTCCCCCACATCAATCTCCACTCCATACACCATAATGACAAAGCAAATAACAGGTTTTTAACATCTTTGCAAATTTATTAAAGATAAAAAACTTTAATGATTCCATTGCATAAGTATTCATACCCTTACCTGTTGAAGTTGAAATTTAGCTCAGGAGCATTCATTTTGCTTGTAAATGTTACCACTCCTGTTATCCTGTGGCAAATTCAATTGAATGGGTATGATTTGGAAAGGCACACATGTCTTAATAAAAGGTCTAACAGCTGAAAATGCATATTAGAGCAAAGACCAAGCCCTGAGGTCAAAACACTGCCTGTAGAGCTCAGAGACGGGATTGCATCAAGCCACACATCTTGGGAAGAGTTCGGAAAAAAATTCTGCTGAAGGTTCACAGAAGCATGTAGCCTCCATTATCCATAATGGAAGACGTTTGGAACAACCAGGACTCTTCGTAGAGCTGGCCTCCTGGCCAAACTGAGCAATTGATGGAGAAGGGCTTTGGTTAGAGTGGTGACCAATAACCTGATGGTCACTCTAGTTGAACTCCATGATCATATGTGGAGACAGGAGAAACCTACAGAAGGACAAACATCACTGCAGCACTCCACCAATCTTTATGCTGGTGTGGCCAGATGCAATCTTCTCCTCAGTGAAGACACATGAAAACACACTTGGAATTTGCAAAAAAGCACCTAAAGGACCCGCAGACTGTGAGAAATAAAATTCTCTGGTCTGATGAACCTCAATTCCAAGCATCATGTTTGAAGGAAACCAGTTGGAATTTGCAAAAAAAGCAGCTAAAGGACCTCAGACTGTGAGAAACAAGATTTTCTGGTCTGATGAACCTCAATTCCAAGCATCATGTTTGAAGGAACCCAGGCACTGCTCATCACCTGAAGAGTACCACCCCAAAAGTAAAGTGTGCTGGTAGCAGCCTCATGCTGTGGGGCTGTTTTTCAGGGGCAGGGACCGAAGGACTCGTCAGAGTAGAAGAGAAGCTCAATGCACCAAAATATAGAGATAGTCTTAATGAAAACCCA